GTGCCGGACCACAAGCGGCAGCTAGGTAGGGCCTTCACCCTTGCGACCAGCGTACAAGTCCGCAGTACTTACATACAGTCACTCGCAGGACTCCTGAGCACCGCGTCTCTCATATTCAACCGCGTCATAGGCACTGGGTGCGGTGCTCTGTCGTTCGCCGTGAAAGTCCGATGGCTGATGCGACTTGTGCAGAATATTCGCTACTCCGAGCGTGATCTTGCGCTCGTCCGGCAGCGTCGGCCTGTCACTCGTCATGTGGCTACTCGGCGCGACCGTGGCCCTATGTGGCACGGCAGTGTATATTGAACTTGGAACTGTGAGGATACCCATTCCATCTCGTGAGCGCACTAGGACCTGTGCTGATAGACCTCTGTAGGGCCTTCCGCGGAATGGCGGAGAGAAGAACTACTTGGAGTTCATATATCAGCGTCCGAAGCTGCTGGTGACCTGCATATATGCTATGTACGCGGTGCTCACCGTATGTCCTTACACTCTATGAAGGCTGCCTCATGCTAACATCTAACCTTAACAATAGGGATGGCAAGCAGCATCGTGCTCTGTATTTGGAGAATGTGAGCTCGACTGTGATATTGGCCTAGTATACACTCTTGACATTGGTCTGCAGATGCCCTGCACGCTTTGAACCCGTCTCAGCCGCCATCTCCCACAACCGCTCGCATCGCCGGCGTTCTTTGCATCACCGTCGCGCTCCTTCTGCACGGCACGATGCTGAAGACAGGGCTCCACATCCAAAACGCGCTTGGGTTGTTCAAGCTCTTCGTCCTCGTCGGTATCGCGCTCAGCGGGCTCGCGTCTTTGCTCCAAGTCAAGGGCTTCAGGTTAGAGAACGTGAGTTCTAGTACGCACACGCCAGTATCGCGAAATACTGATGCGTGCATGTACAGCCTCCGCGGAACTTCGAATGGGATACGATGTGGGAGGGCACCCTAGTTGGCGGAGTGAACGCCTTCGTAACGGGTCTCTTCAACGTGATTTGGTATGTCCTCATAGCACCTAGAGCGACGGCGTGGTATGCTCAGTCCGAACCAGGTGCTTCATCGGATACTCCAACGCAAACTATGCACTCGCCGAAGTGCGCGACCCGATCCGCACAATAAAGCGTGCCGCGCCGCTCGCCATGCTGTCCGTTACATTTGTGTACATGCTGGTCAACATTGCGTACCTCGCTGTCGTGGACAAGGCGGAGATCGTTGGGAGCGGGCGAATCGTCGCGGCGCTGCACTTCGGAAAGCTATGGGGCGTCGGTGCTGAACGGGTACGCCTACTATTTTCACGAGTCGCATATGAATTTACTGAGCTGAGAGTGACCACAGGCGGTCAGCGTTATCGTGGCTTTTTCGACAGTGGGTAACATCCTCGCGGTGCTGTTCACCCACGGTAGAGGTGCGTATCGCTCTCACCCAATATATCGCAGAGTTCTCGGATTAACCCCCCATTAGTCGTGCAAGAGTTGGGGAGAGAAGGTGTATTACCATTCTCCTCCATCTTCGCGAGCAACAAGCCTTTCGGCGCCCCGTTCGCCGGGTTATTCGAACAGTGGCTCGTGACATCGAGCTTGGTGCTGCTCGTACCTCCCGGAGATGCATACCTCTTCATGCTCAACTGTAAGCCCCGTATACGTCTGATATATGTGTCTATGGCGGCTGATGTAAAGTTGGTTCTAGTGTCCTCGTACCCGCTCGCCCTCATCAACACGTTCGTATCCGGAGGCCTCGTCTTCATCCACCTGCCGGACGCGGCTCTTCCCAAGCGGTTCCGCGCCCTGCGCGCGTCATACGAGTGGCGTCCACCCTTCCGAGCATGGACGCCTGTCGTCCTGTTCTTCTTCTTGTCCAACGTGTTCCTCGTCGCCGTGCCGCTGGTGCCGCCCGCGCGAGGGTACCGCGTATATGAGCATCTCCCCTACTGGGTACGTTCACACATGTGATAATTCTCGTGCGATGACATACTGATGTTCGGACGGTAGCTTCATGTTCTCGTGGCCTGGCTGATCTCGTTTGGCGGGATCGCGTACTGGTATGTGTGGTGTGTATGGCTACCACGACGGGGCGGATATGTGCTGGTGCGCGACTGGGTGAGGGATGATGATGGTACGCCTAGGCGAGTAGTCAGGAAAGTAAAGACAACCTAGAGCCTGGGGTGATGGGCACGAACGAGCAACTTCGAATTCACATCATGCTGGCGTGCGCCAGAGTCGACGCCTCTCGTCCCTTCGCGGCGAGCGTCTCACGCACGACTGCTGCAAGGTTCTAGATGCGTGTAGTAGCACGTACAAGCCGATCGAACGCCGTGGAGATCGACCGGGTGTAAGTTATTGGGAGCACTCCCAGCCGCGCCTACATTGTATGGAGTAGCATCCACTATGACGTCGCACATGCACCTACACTCGCGCGGTCCATGATGCAAAGTGTCCCACCGCTCGCCACCGTTGCGCCGCCTCGAGCTTGGGAAGTGGATATATAAGAGAGAGCAGTACTAGGAAGAACAACCTCACCAACGCAAACAACCTCACCAACGCAAACCACCACCTGTTACTTCCACTTCCTCACTGTCCATACACCATTCAACCACCACCTCCTTACCGAGTTCGCAACCTCACCGAAACATCATGTCTGGCTCTGACTCCCAGGTTCCTGTTACCTTTGGTCGCCACAACGATTTCGTCGGCGGCGACGCCAGCAAGGGTAGAATCCCCGGTGCCGACAAGGCTACCACTGGTCACCACTTTGTTGCGGTGGACCCCATGGGGGGTGAGTCGAAAACCGCGCGCGGCCCCGTGATGCTGGCGATCAACAAGGTGTTGACGATGGGATTTCAGGCCAGCGACAGCAGCAGCGCGAGCAGGAGCATCTGCCCCCTACCACCGGACGTGATGCACTTCTAGCGGGAGGCGTCGCGCCCGGAACCCGTACCGGCCCTGTAAGAAGTAAGTCATCCATGCCCCACACGTCCCAAACCGCGAATACCGACCTGAATCACCAGACCTCGAGTCCGACATCCTGAACGCACACGCCTCGAGCGGCCGCCCCGAGCCCTCACCGCCCCGCCGCATCCACGGCGAACCGCAGCCCCTCGCGCCCGCGCCCGACTCGCGCACGGTCGTCGACCGCGATCCGTGGGCGGCACCTGCTTCGGCAGGCGACACGCTCACGGGCGCGACGTCGCAGGACGTGCATGGGGGCCTCGGGCACCCTGGTGCGGGGATGAGCAGCGCGGAGATGCACCACGACGGGAGCGCGCACCGGAAGCGGCAGATGCGCGGGACTGAGCAGTTTGGGGCGGGCGAGATCCCGAGGGAGGAGGTTTGAGGGGCGCGATGCGCGAGAGTAGGCGGGACGTCTAGATGCGAAGTTTATCTGTATCAATTGTATCAGTAGTGCACAGCGGAACATATCAGACTGTTTGAACGTATGTACTTGCATGCTGTGTACACAACCGGTGTGGGCGAGATCGTTAGTCGATCGCGCATTTGCGCTCCGAAAGTAGATGCAAAGCCAGAAGGCTCATACCGATATGTCGACGCTTCTTACATAGTACTGACTGACAGCGCGACGACAACCTTCCGGTCTTCTTGGGAGTGTCGAAGAAGGGCAAGCGTTGCTTCGAAGGAATGACGAGCGTGACGGCGATGGATGCGAAACACTTCAAATTGGATTCGTGATATTGATACAAAAATCGTTGATAATGATACACAGCAGGGATAATGATAGTGAAGGAGAGCAGATGATTTCGTGGGGTTCGAGGGAGGGAAAAGCCGATAGTTAGATGCGGCTGGTTTAATTGGCCCAAGGGTGAGGGGAGTTGTCAACGCAGGCGAGGCGCGCGCGTTGTGTTTGCATGAGTGGTCGAGGGTGCGGATGCGCGAGAGTCGGTCATGTACGCATGACAAGGACGGCGGTGAGCGCGATGGCGGCGCCGGTGAGGATAGAGACGAGGAGCGCGACGAGGCACCGCTTCGCCCATTTCACTTCCGCGCGGCGCATCGACTCAATCATCTCCTGGCGTTCGTACTCGGGTTTCGTCGTCTCCCAGTCCGACGGCGCCTGGAGAGGCGAGAGCAGAATGAAGGCTCCTGCTACCCAGAAGAGAGGGAATACTGCGAACGCGATGGTCAGGACATAAGCATGGGCAACTGATGATGAGAGCGATTTACGGAAGCCATACTTGAAGAGGTACATCGCGAGGGTCGGCTGGTCAGACACCGTCGTGTACGCGGGAGGGTCGATCGAGCACTCGTATGAAGGTGGTGCAAGGGCTTCGACCTCGACAGGGGTAGCAGGGCGCGCGTCGTCGTGGCGGCTGTCGCGCGTACCAGTCAAGCTCGGAGTACGACGCGAGCTCGAAGGACGCGAAGCCCCGAAGAAGTCGTCGATCGGGTCGAAGGTAGTCTCGTCGACAGACGCATTGGCGCGTGCTGAGTGTGTGTGTGCCGAAGTTGGCTGAGGTATCTGAGCCTCGAGGTCAAGCTCCGGCGTGGCCGGACGGGTGAAGAGGCCGAAGACGGTCGGGCGAGAGGAGGATGCAGTAGAAGCAGACATAGCAAGTACTGGGTAGGGCTTCAAGGCTAGGTGATGGGAGGGCGAGGTAGCTTTGGCAAGAGGTGAGGAGCGGATGATAGAGACATAGCTGCATGCACATGGGCAATATATGCCTCTGCGAGACGCAATTGAGGGACTCGGAGCAATCGAGCGACACTTGGCTCGCGTACGGACATGATGGAGGCAATTGAGCGAAGCACAGGCGCCAATTCGTCGCCAAGGCGCGTAGCCGAATCATTTGCCTTCTGCGGCATATTCGGGCCAAATAACCGTAAGCAAAAGCCCTCGCTTCGCCCGAGATTTCGCTTCGCGCACAACTGCTATAACGGGAGGCGAATGTGGCAGCCTCGCTTAGCGTACGCTGAGTGGCTTTGGATTCGAAAGACAGCAGCGTGGCTACTCAACGGCGGTCAACGGCGGCCAAAAAGTACACCAGTTGGTAGCCCACCGCGAGGGTCGAACTCGCAGCCTTGAGATATCGTAGGAGGTTTGGACCTCCTTAAAAGTCTCACGCTCTATCCGATTGAGCTAGGCGGGCGATGGGGTGCATACCTGACAGACATCCAGAGAGTACCGGTTACCCTTAACCCTGAAAGTCACCGAATGCCGACCAAGTTGAAGTTCTAGCCGGCAGGAAGACAGGCGCTTCTTGACAATGCAGCAGCAGCAATGAGCAAATTCGCTTCAGGGGCGGAGCCGAAAGACAAAGATATGGAAGCTCACAATGAAGATCCGAATGTTCGAACTTTGGCTGGAAGTAGCTCTATGGCGACGCGGAACGGACACAGACATACCTTGGTTCGAAGTTCATGATCGGGTACACTTTCACATTGGGTGGCGCAGCCGAACACATTACGACCTCGGGATAAGTGCTTGGACGAGTAGGTATCGCTGCTCTGACCCCGCGGAGCAACGATGCATGCAGCAACCTTGCACGAGGCTGCTTGAGGGCAGCCGGTGGCAGCTTGGTGGGAAAGTCAGCGGGCGCTCAATCGCCACGCATTCGGAGAGATGCCTAATCGGGACACGAAGGAAGGAGGTTTGATTTGTCCCCAGACGTGAAGAGGACTCCGATCTCCCGTCATCGTCGTGTCGGAAGCGTCGTTGGAAGGCCGGGGTGCTTTCTCACCTTGCGCTCTGTCACATTCCACGCGTCAAGGCGCATGTGGTGGCCCGGCGGAACGGCCTACGGCGAAGGAATGCGCCGGATAAGGTGCGTGGATGCACTGCCAGCGGTGGGGGATCCTCCGCTCGCCCGCCCGCAGGCGTCTGCTCCTTCCTGAAGCGGTGCAATATGCTATTCTTCTTCCCGATTCGGACGGGCGAGTGGCATGGACGCAGCTGCTGCTGTCGAAGAGAAGGCGGCGTGATGGACGGGCCTGTCCTCCGCTCCCAGGTATATATACCGTCCTTTCCCCGCCCCCGCCCTCTTCCCCCGTCTGCACCCACATCTTCCGACCGCACCAACCCTAATCGAACAAGTACAAGCTTACCGAATACCCCCGTAAATATCCCCCTCCCCACGCCCCACAGCCGACATACTGTATCCAAATACAGCTACTCTCTGCATCCTACTTGCCCTCACTCGTCGCCCCAGTCTTTATATCTCGCTACGCATCCTCCGCACTTCTCTGGCTTTCTCCGTCTGCATACGCAATGTCTAGCTCTCCCGCTCTCGCACAGCTTTCCCCCGGTCCTTCTCCCTCGATTTCTTCCGCTTTACCCCCCTCTCCCCCGACGCCGTCTACGCCTACGTTCGCATCGGCCTCTCTTCCCCATGTCCCTCCTACCCCTCCCGATTCAACTTCTCGCGCGGCGCCCAATACCGCGCCATCTCCGTCTCTCAGTTCAAGCTCGAACTCTCAATCTGTTGTCTCTCTTTCATCCCCGCTCTCTGTCGCCGCTCCTCAATTTCAATCGCGTCTGCTGGACACGCCCATCGACATTCACGAACTAGCTCCAGAAATCAGCAGCCCTGCACCATCCATAGATTCTGCGCCCTCTGTTTCTGATCGCGATAACGCCGCGGTTTGCAAGACGCACGATCAGGGAACTCCAGGTGCGTCGGAGTCTTCATTTCCTATACCCTGTATTCGTTAAGTTCTGAACTGACATGCTAGCGCCGACACGGGAAGGAGTTCTACGCAAAGGCTTGTCCGATGCCCTCCCTCCGCCCTTTGTTCCTGCTGCTGCCCGTCTGCAGTACGACCCAGAGCAAGACGACTCCAAAGGAGCGCCCCCGGCGTCTCCGGGCGCGGGTCCACACCCGCCGAACGTGTACATCAACGGTCTTCCGCCTAACTTCCCTGAAGAGGATCTGCTCGCGATGACAAGCCCGTTCGGTAACGTCTTGAGCGTGCGCACCTTCACGCGGCACGTGAGCGACAAACCTTCGTGAGTATTCCTGCCGACTTCGTGTCTTGCATGGGTATCAGACATTGTATTATCCGCGTTTTCGATGATTGTAGAGATCGGACATACTTTCGTTGACATCCGATCTTGCGTCAAATACGCGTTCCGTTCCGTGTTGAGGGTCTTTCCCCCTCTATCTCTCATGCGTAGTCACGGGTTACTGACGCTCTTCTCTCTTCTCCCTACAGTGGGTACGGTTTCGTACTGTGAGTGTCCGTCGTCTTAGTTCAAGGAAGCCGCTCATTAGGGTACGGGTGCCATAGGTTTGAGAGCCTTGATGCGGCGGAGAAGTGTATCGAGTCCCTTCGTAAATATCGCAATCTACATCCGTCCTTCTCTAAGGTAAGTTCGGGTCTTCTATGCACCGCGGCATCATGCTAATCAGCCAACAGCAAGTGCACAAGATCCCTGGTACTACTTACGCCTCCGCACCTTCGGCTTGTACCACTGGCCCTCCCGACTCTTTCAAGGTCAAGATGGAACAGCTTCGCGACACGGGCTCGACCAACCTCTACATGGAGGGCCTTCCTCTGAGCATCACCGAAGAGACCCTGCGCGCCTTGGTCACTCCGTACCGCATCATGAGTTCGCGTTTCTTCCACACGCGCCTGAGCAGCCCTCCAAGGATCATTGCATTCGTCCGGTACAGTCTAATTACACTTCTGCTGCGATCCATCGGTTGACCATATCGAAATTGTAGGCTGGAGAGCCGTGCTGCTGCGGAAGATATCATCGAGCGACTTCACGGGCGGTTGGTGCGAGGATGGAACGATGCTGGCTGCAGGATCTCCGTTAGGTTCGCTGATACAGCGGACCAACGCGAGCTTAGAGTACGTGCATACGCATCCACGAGGTGTTATCCCAAAGCTAACGCTGGCTGCTTCAGCGCACCGAACGTCACGGTCGGGAAGATGAACAGTCTCCGGCCCGCTTGACTATGGCGCGTGCCGCATTGCTGAACCTGAAGGGTACCCAATGTCAACCCGATGATCTCTCCCCTCCTCTGGGGAACCTGAACTTGGCGGATCTGCAGACTAGCCCCAATCTCGGTCTTGCGCTGAATAATCTAGGGCTGGGCCATCTGGGGGGTTCGCTTTCTCCTGCAACGGGTCTTTCGCCGTTGCAGACTCAGGGATCGTTCGCCGGCGGTGTGGGCCGGCAGCGCTTCAGCTCGTTCTCATCCACCACCTCGGACCTCGACGCTTTCAACACGCCGGCTTCTCATGTTCCTACCCACGACCTACGCATCCCTCAACAAGCCCTTCCAGGCAACCCAAGCGGTCTGCTCGATGAACAGAGTCAGCTGCAGCTTGCTCTTATGAGCATGCAGGGCCTTCGCGCCGGCGGCACCCAGCACGGCTATACGCCGGTTGAGCAGCTCATCCTTCAGGCACACGCAAGGCAGAGGGGGGACGCAATCTGCGGGAGCACAGACGGCGGGCCAGGGCACCTTCATGACGCTCGCACCTCTGCCGGACTTCGTCTGGCGTCCACTGCACGAGATGTCAACCGCCGTCTCCTCGGGTGTCTGCCTCAGATGTCGGAAGATGACTTCCATGCGACCGCCAATCGTCTCCAGGATCAGCAGAATGTTGCACAACGGTTCTCGCGGGATGCCAATGGACGGACGTTCGGCCATCTTGAGGCCGACGCACAGTCTGCATCCCTCGTCTCCGATTTAGAACGCCGATTGTCAGCTTCAGACCAGCAGACGCGTCAGCGGAATCACACGCTCGCCTCGCAGGTTCGTGGAGATGGAGGTACCCAGGGCCTTCACACTCGCTCGTCCACGTTGCCTTCACAGTATCTCGGGCTCCGTAACCCCACTCAAGCGCTCCCCCACTCTCACAATACCCTCTACGATTCCGGCGCCAGTGCCAATAACAACGTCTCCTTCCAACCCCACCAGACTCGTTCCGGCATGACCAACAGCTCTCGCGCTACCAGTCACAAGCACGTCCCACAATCACCCAGCATCAGCAACGCGCCGCGTCACACGAGCATCAGCAACCTTTCTACGAACCCGCAGACGAATACCCATGCTTTGTTCACCAGCAAGAGCAACATCAACCTACCCAGCATCGGTCATCGCGCCGCCCAGCATGTCAATACCGGCTCCAGCGTCGCTTCGCCCCAGGCGTCCTCCGTCGCAGCCTTCTCTACACAGGCGAACAGGACGAAGAACAACGGCATGGCAGGTGCCTCTGCCGTAGGACATCCGACGGACGCTCGAGAGGGCACGATCGCACAAGACCCGGATGCGGATGACGGCGAATCCCCCATCGTCTCTCCCGCACTTACCTATTCGGCTCGAACGCCTGTCACTCTCAGTCCGGCGACGCCCTACTCTGGATTCTTCTCCGACGGAGGAGATGCGTTCAAGGGCTCGTCGCTCAGCGGGAAGATCGCTACAGAAGGGCTTAACGCTCTGCGTCCGACCAAGGACGGTGGAGAGACGGTGAACATCAAGGTCGCAACGAGCATGTTGGATCAGTAAGCTTCTATCTCCAGTCGCCATTTCTCCACAACCTCCGCACCTCTACACATCTTGAGACAATCCTAGCGATTTACTGTACGATTGTTGTAGCACTAGTACTATACGCGGCCGACTTCGCACGACGCATACGTTAGAGAACGACTTGTTGCGCGATCCTTACTACTTTGTCCAGATAGTAGGTTCGGCATGGGCGTTGTTGTATGAGTAGGATAGAGCAGTTAGTCGTACGTACGACCGAAGTGTAAACAGAGAATACTATGCATCGTCGCACTCGAATGACGCACGGCGTAAGCAGTCGACGTCTGAGTCGCAGTGCCAGTTGGCGCCGGCGTAAAAGCATCCGGCTCAGGAGACGCCCACTTTGCCGAAAACTGCCATATTAGGCAGGTTGAGGGAGAAGACATTGTTTGTGGCTGCTTGGTCGACAGGCAATCGGGACGGGGGTGCCTCGCAACGAGACTCGGATGGATTGCGTCCATTCGCTTCCGAAGTCTCGCTCGATTGCTCTCTCGATTGCGTCCCGGAGAGGGTTATATACCCGCCACACTTGCAGCCATGCTCTCATCATCCGCTCTCCAGCCCTCGCACACCTCCTCCAGTCCTCGCATCACTTAGCCAGTCCTGCCAGC